AGCCATAATGCCAGCTGCTGGTCCCTCTCCCATTCAATTCTAAGACTGATCTAGAAAGAGATTACAAACAACTGCCCCCCTCACACACACACACACACACTCTCATCTATAACATTGTTTTGCAATGGAGAAAGGACACCTTCCATTCATATTTTTTAACATTTCCAAAAACCATTTGCTAATTTCTTTTTTTTTTAGAGGTTTTTGCTATAGGGTGCGTGTGCTCGCCAGACAGACAGAGAGAGACACAGAGACAGAAAGCGAGAAATCACCCCCCAGGGGGGATAGCCACACCGCATTCCCTTCTTCGCTGTTCTCTTCTCAGGATCTTGGGTACGCATACACACGCACCCGGCGTGAGTTTTAAGCCACCGGGTCCGGGACGCGAACAGCGGTCAACTACATGGGAGTCCAGCGACACAGCCATTATGCTAACTGCTGGTCCCCCCATTTGCTAATTTCTAATAATTACTTCCTTTGAGTATAGGATAATTATTGGCATTCAAGTGTTTAAAGTAAAATTCAATTGTAGGAAATGTTTTGCTTGTTGAGAGAAAGAAAATGTTCTTACCTAAGAAAATTTGCTCAACTGTGTTCTCTGCAAGAATTTTGCTGGAGAGATTTTCACAGCAAGCTAGTGGTCTTGGGGGTGGGGGTGGTGGTGGTGGTGGGGATTGAAGCAAATCATTTCTGTAAAATTGAAATTAGTTTATTTCAGTTTATAGCTTTTCATTTAATTTTCAAATGCAAGTGGCTATTTTTAAATGTAAGAAAGGAAGTCTAAGTTGTCCTCCTAATCCAATGAAATATTGCCAAAAGGATAAAAGCAGACAACTGTGAACCATGCAGGAGATCCTATCCAAATCTTGCTTTTTTATCTCCCTTCTGTTCTCATTAAAGCAAGTCCCAAAGATCAAATGAACTCAGAACCCAAACTGAAGACAAGGGCACAAGTTGTTTACTTCACCTCTGCCAGCAGCCACCAGGCTGGGATGCAGCCACACAGGTCACGAGAATAATAAACCAATTTTCACCCTCCCAGGTCTCTGTCAAGAGCCACCAGGGAGCAGCAGATGACCAAGTCACTCACCTGACTGCCTCCAGTTAGACACTTGCTTGAAAATGAATGGGAAAGCTCCTAGGAAGGGAACGAAGGAGGGGAAATAATGTGTGAATAAGTCACATCCCTGTGGCTTTATGATTCACAAGTGCTTCATATCTGTGCTTGGTTTTGATCCTTCTTTGTAGTGAGAAGGATTTGAATCTTTCTTTTTTATCCTTTCTGCACTTTAGTATTTTAAGAAATTTTTGAAATTTTTTTTTTGTTTTTGTCTTTTAATTTTTTCCTATGAGAGAGAGTCCCAACAGGGTATTTATGCCACTATCCATGCCTAGTCTCAGTCAGCCAGGATCACAGGCATGAAGTTTACTGGGAGACATAAACTCGAGACCCTCACATCAGCTTCAACATTGTGGAGTGTTGCGTTGCCATTAGACTAGGACATGCATTCTTCATTCCATAATATGGAACGGCAATCCAAGGCCCACAGAGTAAATATAGGCATTTGTTCCAAGTCATACAGTTTATTCACAGCATGGGCTTCCAAGGCACGTGCCCTGGTTTGAATCCTGGCCTTACTACTTAGGAGCTGTGTTTCTCTAGATGGTTTACTTAACCTTTTTTTTACCCCATTTCTTGGTCTATAAGATGGAGCTAAGAACAGTAACCATCTTGAAGGTTGTGGCAGGGGATGAAATGATAAAATGCATGTCAACAATTTTGGCTTTTAGTACTCGATAAACACTAGTAAAATAAACATTTGCAAAATATCTCATGGTTCACAGGAAACATCAAATTCAACTACTTTTAGTAAGCTCAGAGGCAAGCACAGTGCTAAATTCTGGGTAGGCTAGAATAAATTTGCTTGTGATTCCAATCATCCTTGACATCACAGAGGGATGTAAGGAGTAAGAAACACACACACATAAAGTACAAAGTGATATTTTCAACAATAAAGGTAAGTAAAGGGAGACACTTTAACCCAGTCTGGGAGTGTTAGAGGATTCCTAAAGGAAAATACCTTCTAACAGTACCTTTGTTAAAAATTGTCTAGAAAAAAAGTTGTTATTTTGCCTATTCTACAAAGGAGTAGAACAAGAATCAGGAAAGTTAATGGCTTCCCAAGGTCCCTCAGCAAAGGAGTGGCAAAACAAGGATTGAAATTTATGAATTCACTTCAAGGACACATTTCATGTAAATTAAGTCATTGTGATAATAAACTGGTCTCCCTCCCACCCTTTGCTTTTCCACTATCTTTCTTGTTTAAAGGGTGCAAAAGCTATCATTCTTTCCACATCCTTACTTTCTCCTTGAATAATTTGGTAAAGTGCTAAATTCCCTAAATCTATCATCTGCTAAGAGTCACAAAGCCTAGGCTGAAAGGGACAACTGTATATTGCTAGGGAGCTGGAGGGGGCCGAAATACACATTCTGTTGAATTTCTATTGAACTAATAGCAAGGACTATGGCAGTACCTTCTATATACTTTCCCATTCATAAAGTGGAGAAATGGTAGGGTTTTTTTTTTTCATTTATTTATTTTACATACTTTCACTGAACATCAACATAGCATACAAAATGTGATTTTTCCAGCCAGAATACAATGTAAAGTGGCTTAATCATACATGTTATCATCAATAAATAATTTTCTGTTTCTTGTTTCTTGTATATATATATTTTCCCCTATTTCTCACCCTCTGCCATTTCCCATCCTCCTCCCACCCTGTCTCTTGGTATCTATAGTTGCTTTCCATTCCTTTATTCTTTCCCATATTGATTTGATTCACAAAATATCTTAATCTAAATACTTAACAGTAAGTTCAGCTGATATATACATATCTGTGAACAAAAGTTGACTTTAACTTGACTTGAAACTGTAGGTAGAATGAATATACTATAACATAGCACATAGCTGAGACTATATAGCTTACTATGGTCACTAAACAGATATTTTTAATATATTTTTTAATTTCAAGAAAGTCTGTTTAAGCTTTAATAAATCAAAATCAAAACTCTAGAGTTTCTATGATGATTACAGGTCATGTCCTTATGCCAGGACTTGACATGTATTAAAATTGCTCAACAGACATTTACTGTTTAACTTAAGCTAAAAAAAAAAAAAAAAAAATGCCACCTGGTCTACCCATTTACTTCTCTGGTCTGATCACAAAAATCATGTGTCCATTTGTTTCTAAAAGCTTCCCCAGAATTCTATAAATTCTTTTATAAAGCATTCCAATACTTGGTCAGTCTCAGAACCTAGAACTCCAACTCTTCAGTACATTGCTCATGCTTTACTTAACATTTTAACATTCTAATTTCAGAAAAAAAGGGAGTCTCTGGACATGCATTGTCTGAATAAATCAATTAATATTTCAACTTTCTCTCCAGTCAGTCTAATCCAAGAAACTGCATATTGTCTTTTCAATTTTTTTTCTTTCCTCCGATGATGGACAGGATTTCTTCATGTCCTGAGATTGCTGTGGCGATAATGCAAGTGTCTGGTCATAATATTATGTGTTGTGGTCTTTATTTTCAAAGCACATTCACATGCTTATCTTGTTGACCCTAAAACAACTGAGTAAGGTAAGGAGAGCACGTATTATCCCTACATTAGATGAGGAAACTGAAACATAAAGAAGGGAATAAGAATAGCCATCATTGCTAAGCACTGACAGTGCCCCAGGACTTCTATTTCTTACTTAAACTTACTAAGAAATCCTCTCCAGTAGGTATTTTTAGTTCAATCTGCAGAAGAAAAATATGAGACTCAGAAAGAGAAGTCATGTATGCAAGTCCCTTCAGATAAGGCATGGTTGAGCTTCCACTCAAGTCTAGATCTTATTGCAATGTCAGTAAGTTCAATCACTGACCTATTGAAGATTGTCTCAGCCTATAAGTTCAAACATTGACCTATTGAAGATTGTTCACCTCTCTGTGACTAGCATGTTATTAAAATACAAGACTCCTAATTCCACAGTCTAGGTCACCTTTTTACTAAACCATTCATTCAATCCTTTTATTTTATTTTATTTTATTGAGAGAGAGAGAGAGAGAGATTTTTGCTATAGGGCATGTGCATTCACTTGGAGAGACAGAAAGAGACAGGGAGACAGAAAGCAAGAAATTACCCCCACTGATAATGGCCACACTGAAGCCCCTTCTCTTCCATTCTCTTGGACAGACAGACAGACACACACACACACACACACACACACACACACCTGGTGTGAGTTTTAAGTCGCCAGGTCCAGGACTTGAACTGCAGTCGAAGTACATGGGAATCCAGCAATGTAACCATTATGCTGGTCCCTCAGTCCTCCTTGCTTGTTCAATGTTCTAGAGGTATATCCACTTAGAAAAGAGCTTCAAAATTTTAGTGGAAGATATGTATTACGAAAAAACTATGCATGGATTTCAAAAATAATTTATATTAAAAAACTTGACTTTTCCAAGAACTTTTTGAGTTTTCCCTATGATTAAGACAGTCATGCTTACATAGAATTGCAGAGAAGCTGTTCCTTTCCCATTCCAAGTCTCCTGTTCTTAACTTCCTAGTCCCTGCCTACAATTTTTAGGCTCCCAACATGCAGTCAGAGAGTTATAAGTTTCTCTCTCTCTATCTATATCTATCTATCTTATGTATATTAATATATATCATATGTCAAGAACTTTCTAGATTCTATAGCAAGAATAAACATTTGTCAGACTAAACAAACTTCTCAGAAACTAAACAGCAAGGACAAAAAACATACTGGAAGATTCTTCTTTTGACCTATGTGTCTAGTCCATGTGGGCCTATGTGCATACTCATATCCAAGTGGTAAGGCAAGCACTGAGCTGAGGAATGGCTTGCAACCATGTCCACTTAACCCTGGGGAGAATGTGCTTCTGTTACCATTTGAGCTTCTCTACTCACTCTTATTTTCTGTTTCAAAAGGAGATGATGGTGAAAAAGGAGATCCAGGAGAGGAGGGAAAGCATGGCAAAGTGGGGCGCATGGGGCCCAAAGGTGGGTAAAATGATACAGAAGTGATACTCACATAAGAATGGCTCTTCCTCTCTTGGAACTTGTCCTAGAAAGTAACAGCTTTCATAATGCTCTCTCCCCCAAAATCCATAAAATATATTTCAGGCGTGAATGAACTCAAGGTCTGGCTGGAGGGGGAGCCCAAGGAGAGTAGTCTCTGGGACTAGCTAACGAATTGAGTTTTAGGCCAGGCCTGGTGGTATAGGTGGTAGCATATTGAAATACAGTGTTGGAAGCCACATAACTGAGTATGGATTTGTATCCCCAATCTGTTTGACCTGTCTAGAACACTGGAGGCACATGTGTGCCCAAGATCCTGATGAGTTGGAGAACTGAGGGAAGAGAACAATATGAGAGAAAACCTTGTTGGGGATGGTTGTCTCTCTCTCTCTCTTTCTTTCTCATGTACAAGTTCTCTATCATAAATAAGATAAATACACTTTTAAAAACAGAAAAAATATGAGTTTTGGGGAAAAAAATTGTGTTCATGGCTGTGTTTCCCCTCAGAACTGCTAAGCAGTTTTTCTTGGATGTCCTTAGAGCTTTGAAAGAAGATAAAAAGGAATTGAATTAGCTACCTGATTCCTTGATATATTCATGTTTCCCTGAGCTCTCTCTCTTTCTTTTTTCCTCTAACCCCCTTATTCCTTATATAAAGAATTAACATAGTGGAACAAACACTGAGGTAGAGGAGGAGTAGGGTCAAAGATGATGAGGACAACTCAAATCATTGACTAAGCCTCAGCAAAGCATAGCTTCTGTATTATGATGTCTAAAGGTGTGTCTTCAAACCCTTGAGGTATTCTCTACTAACAGCTATAAGATGACCACCAGAGACTGTTTTCTTTGACATCTTGAGAAAAGGCTCACAAGCCCTTGAGACCCCACTGTGAGAAATGCTGGTTTAAACTCATTATATACATTTGTATATCAACTGCAAATTTTTTCTCACAAAAATATAGCTTTATAACTTGTACACATTTTTTGGTTATGTCACTGGACTCCCACATAGTCGAACGTGGTTCGAGTCCGGGACCTGGCAACTTGAAACTCACACTGACTGTACGTGCATGCATGCATGCCCAAGATCCCTAAAGGGGAAGGGAAGAGAAAGGGGATTGTGGCATGGTATCTCTCCAGCCAACACATGCATCCTATAACAAAAACCTCTCTCTAAAACAGTTAATAGTTTTGGAAGAACTTAGTGATCCCTGATCATAGCTTTTGGATAAAAACTTAGCAGGACAATCTCTGATGTCACTCTCTTTTTTGAAACTTTTAGAAAAGTTTATTTATTTATTTATTAATGACAAAGAGAGACAGACAGAAATAGAGAAAGGAGAGAGAGAGAGAAAGAGTCTTCATGCTACAATCCACTCCCAGTGTTAGCCAACCCAGTTCACAGGCAACATGCACTCAGCATAGCATCCTTGCACACGAACACAGAACTTTCACACGTGCGTACAGTTGTGTTTCTACTGTACTACCACGCTTGGCCCTCTGGTGTCTCTTTGATCTCCAGGTTTCATGACTGAACATTTCCTCTCCTGTTTTAGCTAACATTTTATTTCTTGTTTTAGAAGAAAAGAAATAGAATCCCATGTCCAGCATCTAGAGAAGAACACAGCCAGAACAAAGTGCAAGGATGCTTCTACTCAGCCCCTCACTAGCCTTTAGATTAAATATCCTCTGCTGTAGTCATTCCAGAAACACTGCATCATAAGCATTTTACATCATCATGTCCATGGTTGTCATATTCTTCCACAGTTTTGTCAGTTTCCAGCCTCTGGCTTGGCTCTAAGGAGGAAGCAAAAAGAATGAGACAAAAAGACAGAATAGCAATGGATACAGGCAGCCAGAGCCTAAGTAGCCCAGCAATTTGTGCCACCCAGACAAACTGGGCACCTTTATTCATAGGGCAAAGTGACATTACATATGTGTATTTCATGACATTCCATAGATATGTTGCTGTGTTACAGGCAATAAGAAGCAGGTAACAAATCTATAAGGGCTTAGACGTACATACAAGGTGTATCCCTTGGTGATAATCCCATCAAGAGGAGAAACCATAATCTTCTTGTTTTAATGGAGAGAAGCCTAGCTCCAGGCATGGAGAAAAAACATAAGGCTAAAGATCCCACCATAAGGTGGGTGCCACCATGCCCAGAGAAGGCTAAAGAATCTCACAGAGGCAGAACAGGGATTGGACTTTGCCAATTGGGGGTCAAAATGTTTCCTGAATTCCATCAGATGTGTCTGTTGCAACATCCCTAGCAATTTCCACTCTTTGCTCTACCTGCAGCGAGGGTCAAAGAAAGGACAAGTTACAAGGCTCTGCCAAAGCCCAAAAGGACAGGTAGTGTTTGATCAGAGTATGTCCCCACATCTCACTCAGTGTCCCTACACATTTTAATATTGATACATACATTATAACTCTTAGACAATAGAGCTTGTGAAATACATTAGATATCACATTAGAATAATATAGTAAATTTTTTTGATAATTCCTTCAGAAGAATTCCACATTAGCCACATCTTTAAAGGGAAGATAAAATCCTATAATATAAAGTGTAATACTTTGCTTTTCAGGAATTAAAGGAGAATTGGGTGATATAGGAGACCAGGGTAATATTGGGAAGACTGGGCCCATTGGCAAGAAAGGTAAGCTGCATTTTACAATACTATTTTAGCAATTTAAAGCAAATCAAACATGTGTTTAAGGTTTTGTATCATAAAAATGATCACTTTTTCTTCTTTTAATATATGAGTTCGGTTTCTATAGTTTCCATACATAGCAATATATTTCATAGCTAACAAGAAAGGAGGGGGAGGGGGAGCAAAGCTAAATAATTAGAATCAAACATCAAATTTCAGTTGTGTCTGTATGTAGTTCTTTTCTGGGACTTACTGGTTGGCCGCTAATCACTGATACAATTAAAATAGCATCATGGTTCCAACCACAGTGGCACACTGTGAAACCTGCTGTTTCACTGGTTGAGCCATGGAAGAGGCACATTTCTAATTCCCAACCCACCCTACAAGCCAAGCATGGCAGCACACACATGGAGTCCCAGCTGTTCTGGAAACAGAGGCAAGAAGATCAGATAGAGCCAGACTATGTTGAGAGAGAGAGAGAGCGAGAGAGCGAGAAAGTTGGGCACAGGAACTTTCACCTCTAGTCCCAGCTACTCAGAAGAATGAGACAGGAGGATTCCAAGATCAAAGCTAGCAACATAGCAATACCTTGTCTCATATAATAATAATAAAATTAGAAAATAATATGATTACTCATAAACATATAGGAAGAAGAGAACAGTATAATTTTCTTTTTTAATTTAAGTGGAGTAACTAATAATTGTGCACTTGTGGTATATTACCTGGGTAGGAACCTGAAGTATAAATATGCTTACATACTTGTTTTTAGCCATTTCCTAATCTTGTACATAATGACAGCCTCAATCCCATAAAATAGAGGTGTCTCTTCTTTATTGTCTAGACACTCTTTTCCTATCCTTTTGTCATAAAGTCACAGTGGTAGCAGGTTCTAATTGCCTTTGATATTTAGTAGTTCATATAAACATTTTTTCTACTTTAAGATTCAAGATGAATAACAGTCAAAATGTTACTGCAAGAGACTCGTCAACTATTCAAGGAGATTGGAATCCCTCAAAAAGCATCATCCTGAATAACATGAGTACTACAGAAACCATATGGGAAAGTAAAGCAAGGTTGATAGGAAAAAGAACTCATCTGGGTTCTGGGGAATAGTAACACATTTATGGAACTACAAAAAGGCATTTGAGGCGAGGCAAGAGGTACTTGTGCAAAGGTACAGTTGGTGGGAGATAAGTGCCATGAGTAATATAATTTCTGCAGCCTTAATGTGCCCTGCAGCTTTTCATAAATACTTGAGCAGCTGCGTAAACCTGTGCCTCTCAGCAGCCAGCAGCATCTTCTTGTGGGCAGGTTGAGAGACTGGTCTGAGCTAAGGCTTTAGCCTTGCTCTTCTCAGCTTGTGGCTCAGTACTCCCTCTCTCCCCACTCTTTTTGACTCACTCTTTTGAGGAATTTCTGTCAGACTGTATTGAAAGGCAGGATTGTGGGAAGTGTCACCAAAAAGAGATTGTGTTTGAGCCAGCAGCTTTTATTGAATACTCACCTGGGGTTGAAATCGTCATAGCTGGGAACAAGCTGCATGAACTCCTTGTGGCTCCCGAATCCTGCTCCAGTGTGTGTCCATGATGGTTTTACCACTAAGTGGATGACTCTTTGGCTTCAGAGCCCCCTTATAATGTTTGGGTTCTTTCCAAGAAGAGCGTTAGCAATGGGTTCACATGGCCATCTTCGTCATAAAATTTATTAAAGTCAGGTGTATTAAGCTTGAATGTTTTAAAATAGTGCTTCTCAACATTCTTTTAAATTACTTATCTCCCCTCCAAATAAAAACAAGCCATTTTAGATCATTCTCCTAATTGCCTTTCCCCATGAAATTTTAATACCACCATAGACTACATATTTATTTATTTATTATGTATATAGTTGAGCTTTAAGCCATTTTAGATCATTCTCCTAATTGCCTTTCCCCATGAAATTTTAATACCACCATAGACTACATATTTATTTATTTATTTATATATTATGTATATATTTGAGCTTTACATATTTCAAAAAGAGTAAAATTTTTTACCTCTAAGGACTGACTTTTTAATGTGATATTGCCCCACTGAGAAAGCATGAGTGAAGACTAATCTCTCCATCCGCTCCAACTTCCCTCTCTCAGTTTTCCTTGCATCGGGTGGTTTTGGAGTGGATGCAAGTATGTTGGGAACTAATTAGGTGGAGCTTGAGTGAGGAAAACATTTAGTTTGGACTTAAGGAGACATATTTATGTAGTTTGAAGTTACTTTGTGTCCAGTTAAATTATTGCTAAAAATTCCAATGCAGGAATAGTGTCCAAGAATACTCCAACCACTTACTGTGCAGCTCTGTCCACAGCTAAAGATGAGAAAGGGCTGGGTCAGAGGTCAGATCATCATATGAATGTGTCCTGGGCATACAGCTCAAGAAATGTGTGAGTTGTAGGAAAGAAATAGTGTTTGAAATATAAGGGGCCAGAGCTAGTTCATAAAATATTTTTTCCAAGACTAACTGCTTATATAAAAAACACCTTACCGAACTATATTCTCAAATGTGACAATGAATTTACATAGATCACCAATATTGAGTTGTGAAGGTGAAAGAAAATTATAACCCTATTAATAATACAGCCACTTGGAGCCAGCAGGTGGCACAGAGGTTTATGAGGATGGATCCCACATGGCCAACTCTATGGTTCGAGTCCCAGACCAGTGGGTTGAAAATCATGCCAAGCGCATGCGTTTGTGTCCACAAAATCTCAGGAGGAGAACAGGAAAGGAACTATGGCACAGCTATCTCCCCTCTCTATCTGCCTGTCTCTCTCTCTCCAATAAGGACATGTGCACTATAGGAAACTAAAATAATAATAGCAGTGACCTACTGCTCAGACTCAGAATCCTCTCCAATGGGAAAAATCCCCTTTCTCACTTTGTTTCACTTCTACAGTCAGTATTCACTACATAACGTGTTTACAATCACATAAGACTATGTATTTCATTTATAAATTTGTACTTTATTGTGCATATTCAGAATAAATAAAAATTATTATACTGGATTTACATTTTATTTATTTATTTATTTAGGTTTTTACCATAAGGCACATGCACTCGCTAGAGAGAAAGAGAGAGACAGAGAGAGAGAAAGTGAGAAATCACACTCTAAGGAGGTGGGCACATCACAATCCCTTCTCCTCCATCCTCCTCTTGGAATTTTGGGCATGCACACACACATGTCTGGCATGAGTTTCAAGCCACAGAGCCCAAGACAGGAACCACAGTGAGCCATATGGAAGTCCAGTGTCTTCTTTTTTAAAGAGAGATTTTTTTTTGCTATAGGGTACATGTGCTCATTGGAGAGACAGAGTCAGAGAGACAAAATCCTGAGAGGAGAATAGAGAAGGGATTGAAGTGTGGTCGTTCCCCCTTGATTTCTCACTTTCTGTCTCTCTAGCGAGTACATACATCCTGTAGCAAAAATCTTATAAAAAAAGAAAAAAATGGAAAGAATTAGACTTATGAATTTAAAAAATTATTATATGGGCTGCAGATGATGTAGCAATTACATCACTGGACTCCCACATGGTTGAACACAGTTTAGGTCCCGGATCTGGTGACTTGAAAATTATGCTAGTTATATGTGTGTGCGTTCCTAAGATTCCAGGAGAATGGGGAAGAAAAGATTGTGGTGTGGCCATCTCCCTGAGGGTGATTTCTCACTTTCACTCTATCTCTCTCTTCCTATCATTCTGGCAAGTGCATGCACCCTGAAGCAAAAGCCTCTAAAATAATTAGTAAATAAGAGAGAAAGGGAAAAAAAGAATTATTATAAAATTAAATCATTAAGGTAATGTTGATTTAGTGCAGAGACAGATAGGTAGATCAATGGACACGATCAGAATCCATAAAAAGACTCCAAGATTCAATTGATGCAAATTGACACTATTTTCAACAAGAAATTACGAGCCTATCAATAAAGTATCCCGAGTTAATCAGATATTTATGTTTAAAACTAATGATATGACCCCAAACCAAACAGTCAATCTAAAATCAATTTGTAAATCTAAATTTGGTGGCAACCCCAAATTAGACCTAAATTTGAAAGGTTAAAAAAAAATGCTTCTGGAAGTTAATTCAGAAATCTATATTTTGGATCCTAAGGTAAGCAAACAACTTGTGAACAGGATATAAGAAGAACTAACAATGAAGAACTAACAAATTTATGTCTATGAAAATAAAGAACTTCCACTCACTATAAAAAACATCTTTCAGAGAGCAAAAGAGGAAACAATAGAATATGTTATATACTGCAAATATATCCAATGAAAAGCTTATACCTAAAACATATAAGGAGATCATATAAATCAATAAGAGAAATGACAGATAAACCAAAAGAAAAAAAAAAGTATCAGGGTCAGCAGATGGTCAAGTGGTTAAGATGCTAGACTCCTACATGGCTGACTGTAGTTCAAGTCCCTGACCCGATGGCTTGAAAATCACACCAGGCACACATGCATGTGTGCCCCAAATCCCAAGAGGAGACTGGAAGAGAAGTGTTTGCAGTGTTGGCATCTCTCCTGGGAGTGTGATTTTTCATCTTCTCTCCTTTTGTCTCTCTCTGTCTCCAAGAAAGCATAGCACTTTATGGGGGAAAAAAAAAGTCAAAAGATTTGGTAGGCACTTTAAAAAGAATATATTCCCTACCATCACTTCAGGGAGTTGATATCTATATGAGTGTCAACTCATCAGGCTGATGCAAATTTGACTAAATTATATAGCTGCATACTCACCAAAAAGACTAAAATAAAAAAAGACCGACAATACTTAGTGCTGACAGGAATGATGAACAACTGAAACTTTCATATAGTGCTTTACCATATCAATGGAAATACACTATTTCCATATGTAACAAAATGAATAGATATATTATTGGACATCATATTGGTCAAAAGGATTCATACAGAAATAGACAGTCCTTCCTGCCAAATGTTTCCATTTCTGGAAACTTCAACAACATGAAAAACCTAT